CATTCTCACATTTACTCGAGATCTTTATTCACTGTGTCCGTGCACGTCCACTTTCTCTCTTTGTTTATTACGCTCATGGGGCTGGAACGGCGCCATGTGAGACATGTTATGACAGCAAGTGCAAAAGACTGCCGGAGGAGCTGGAACTAAACTCCCTCCAGTACATGTAATCCATGCCACCTGGCCCCAGTGAGAAGCCATACTTTCTTTGAGAGGAAATCTGGAAAATCAGACGTCCCGTAAAGATTGTGTGGGGTTCTGCAGAGACGTGCTTCTCTGAAACAAACAGATTAAAAGTGAGTATTAAAAATGGGGCAGTCGTGGCCTAATGGATAGAGAGTCGGACTTGTAACCCGAAGGTTGTGGGTTCGAGTCTCAGGTCCAGCAGGGATTGTCGGTGGGGGGAGTGAAAAACCAGTGCTCTCTCCACCTTCAATACCACGACTGAGGTGAGACCCTTGAGCAAGGTACTGAACCCCCAAATGCTCCCCGGGCGCCGCAGCATTGGCTGCCCACTGCTCCGGATGTGTGTTCACAGTGTGTGTGTGTTCACTGCTGTGTGTGTGCACTTGGATGGGTTAAATGCAGAGCACTAATTCCGAGTATGGGTCACCATACTTGGCCACACGTCACTTCACTTTTTCACTTTCACTTATGCTTCGCTTCATTCTAGGGCCTGTGATGCAACACCTTTTCCTGTGAAAAATTCACGTCAGCTTTGGGAGTTGCTAAGATTAAATCACATTTTCTTGGCACGTTTAATTGGGTTCGAGTACTTGCAGTCTCGTTTTTATTTGTGATTTTTGAGGGCATAGATGTGTGGTTTGGAGTCGTCTTGTGTAAATGTAAACCAGGCATGCCCTTGAGTGTTTTGTGTGATGGTTTCCCTCATCGCAGCTGGTGTTTTCAATGGGTTTGACTGAATTTAGAACAGCACTAAAGTATAATATGTGCACTTCCCAATTATTCATATGCTGTATGATACATTTTCAGAATTTATTGTGGTCTGATTTGCTGACATATGAATCTTGTGCATCCACTTATTGATTACTTGTGGCCAGAGGCGGACAAAGTACTCAATTCCATTACTTGAGTGAAAGTACAGATACTGCTGGTCAAATATTACTCCATTACAAGTAAAAGTTGCAATACTCAAGTAAATGTACTTAGTTACTGTCCGCCTCTGCTTGTGGCTAAAGTCAAAATGAAATTAAAATTGACCCTGTTTTTTTTTTTAATGCATGTTCCTGTTCTTACTTTACCAGTGCATGTTTTTCCAGTTGTTTATCTTTATAATCTTTAATAAAAATTTTATTTTGATTTAAACCCTAAACTAACTCTAACTTTCCTTTTTGTCTGACTTTATAATCCAATCCAATCCTTTTCCAAACTCTCATTCAAACCGCCTGACTCCCCATTTAATGACAATTTATAACTAAACCAATCCAGGATTTCTTTTGCATACACTACTGTTTGTTACTGTACTGTTTTTTAAAAATAAATTGATCATTTTAGTTTCAAAAAGTTTGAAATAGACGTTGTTCTTTTGAACTTTCTATTCCTTTTCTCTATTCATCAAACAATCCTAAATTTTTTTTTGCCTTTTCCACAAAAATAATAAGCAGCACCACTGTTTAGCATTGATGAGAAATATTTCTCTTTTTTTTCTCACCAAATTAGCATATCAGAATGATTTCTGAAAGATCACGTGACATTGAAGATTGGAGTAATGAAGCTGAAAATTCAGCTTCACAACACAGGAATAAATTAGCCTACATTGCTGCGTTTATTGTATTTTTGATCAAATAAATGCAGCCCTGGTGAGCTAAAAGACGTCATTCAAAAATATGAAAAATGTTACAATCCCAAAGTTTTGAAGTAAAATGGATTACAAATAATGCTTTACGTTGACTTTAAGATACTTAAATGCTTCCAAACGAACCAAAAACAGGATGTGATGGCAAGATGCGACGGTGTGCGACATGATTTAACGACGCAGACCGAGCTGTGTATCTAAAACAAAATGAGCAGACGGCAACCGTGAAGCAACGAGGAGGTAAAGTGCCTTTTATGAGGTCTTCGTGAGTTTGCAGGTGGTAAAAATAAAATCATGTACACGCAACAATGAGTGTGCTTAGTCCAGCAGATGGCCTTTAGGTTCGCTATCTTTAGGTTCGCTGTCAAAAATGGCAGTGTGAACGCTAAGCGGACCAGGACCAAATTTTCTTTTTTGGTCCGGACCAAACAAACTAAGGGTGTGTTCACACTTGTAGTTCGGTTAGTTTGGTTAATTTGGTCCGGACCAAAAAGGAAAATGATACATTTGGTCCTGGTCCACTTAGTGTTCACATTAGCATTTTTGACAGCGAACCTAAAGGCATAGTGATATGTTCACAGCCTGATTGGTCGGCTTGAATGACGTATATATCATGACAGAACTCACCGAACACCCCAAACAAAAGGTGTGTTAGACTTAAAGTGGTGCCGCGTGTGTATGATATCAAAGCACACATTAACGATCGGTCTGCTCAGTGCCGCTTTAAGTCGAACACACCTAATGCCGTCTGCTGGTCTAAGCGCGCTCATTCTTGCGTGTACATATAATTTTATTTTTACCACCTGCAAACTCACAAGGAGCTTATAAAAGACACTTTATCTAATCGTTGCGCAACATTTTCCCTCTGCTCATTTTGTTTTGGTTACACCGCGTCGTCAAATCATGTCGCATAGCGTCGCATCTTGTCATTACTTCCTGTTTTTGGTTCATTTAGAAGTGTTTGGTCCGCGTTGCGTTCATATATCATTCGAACCGCACCAGAGTTCGTTTGGAAGTGGACCGAGACCCATCTTTTTAGCGGTCTCGGTCCGCTTGTTTGGTGCACACCAGGGTTCGAATGGCAGCGTTCACATATGCTCAAATGAACCGCACTAACAGAGCAATCGCATCAGGGTTCGTTTTAATCGAACCAAACATGACAAGTGTGAACGCACCCTAAGAGAACCGAACTACAAGTGTGAATGCACCCTGAGTGTGGTGAATGTTTTTTTGTCTTTAGTTTTAGGTGTGCATCTTTTTATTATGGGTAAAAAATTATTATTTTTTGATTACACTATTACATTGGCACTGTAGATACTTGCATTCATATTTTTCTATTTGTGTGTGCATCGTTTCCTACACTTCAATTGTAGTCTGATTCACAATGAAAGACTGTTTAATGAATTTGCCAAAAAGACTCATGAATCAGTCTAAAATTCATTCACCCACAGGTTTTGCGGTTCTTTGCTCTTGTTTCATTAAAATAAGTCATTATTTTCATCCCGTGCAACTCAATATGAACCTGAGAACTCTTACTGTTAGCCATGTTTAGTGTATAGTTGGGCCCAGTTATAGTGAGATGGGATTTCTTCGTAAAAATTTCCAAAATAATTGTTATAATGAATTGTTAAGGTCCTGAAATGGGACATTCTCTCAGATTCCCATTCCCATCCCTATTAGTGTTACCCAGCCCTGCTTGTCAGAAGCATGGTGTTGGAGTAAACCCACCCTCATAGACTGAGTGATTTTCCTTTACTCTAGGCCTCATTCCTCTTGGAAAAGCTGATGTTTATGGTTACATAACATGGCTAAGCTGTGATGTCCTGCTGTGTGGTAGACTGCTCCAGATACTGTTGTTATGCTGACAGACAGGTTCCTTTGTTCCAGGTGGACATAAGGAGAAATGTACACACACTTATTGTGGGGCGAGCTGCGTTACGTCTGCTTGACATGTGATGGTTATTGTCAGTTCTGTTGAGCTTTGTGACAGGAAATATGGCAGGCTGGGAGGGAATGTGTCGGCGTGGCAGATTGGTAAAGGGTGGTTTACACCCGCCCCGCCGCGTGTCAAAAATGTGTCATGGCATCCTTCTGCTCTGGCCTTGTATGTATACTAACCAGGAAAAGCCCACTTGAGTGACGTGCACTTCAGATCTGGCTCTGATACAAAACCTAGTGTGCTGCCTACGTAGGGAACATTGTAAGGCATTCCAGTTGACCGAATGCTAAGGCATCGCATGTTTAACACAGAAGCCAATCGAAAAATGCATTGCAACAAAAAAATTAATTCAAGCTGGTAAACATAGAGAGAATGTTGATTTATAAAAACAGTTCATTCAGTACTGAAAATTAACAGCACAGATCAACACTATTGAAATTTATTGCAAGTCAAACCCTGCGAAAGCACTGTTTGGACAGCATACAGAGTGTTTTAAAAGCATTCACTTATGAGATTTTATTCTATTTGTTATAAAAATATTTAAGATGTTGGACGAAGTGAGAGAAGTGTTGAATATAAATATTTAAGTTCAGTCAATATGATACTAATAAAAAAAAAAACTAATTAAAATTGGTAATTTTAATTGTATTTTAGTATTTTCATACTATTATAGTATTTATTAGTACTTTAAATGATCTTATTTATTTATTTTTTAAATTTTGCACTTTAAATTTAGTTTGAAGTTTTAGTAATTTTGTTATAGGCTTTTGGAATATTTTTTTTATTTTATTTTTTTCTAATCTTTATTTTCAATTAGACTAAGTTTTAATAATTTTAGTACTTCAGTGTAAACAATTTTTTTTTTGTTAGTTGTCAAAGAAACATCTAATTTTTGTTTAGGTTTTTATTTGAAGTTTTTATATTTCAATTTTAAATTTTTTCATCTATTCATAATTTATTTCAGCTACAATTTAATTAACAAAAACTATTTTCATTAGTTTTGTTAAGTCCCAATATTTGTGTATGCTATGTATTTTTACACTTAGAGTATTGAGTGAATTGTTTAGCAATATGCTAACGTCAAAGTTTATTGAAATCAAATGCTAGTTGAGTCTTCTAATGTGCTTTTTATATGTAGAGTGCTCCAAATTGCTCACTTGAGAGGCTGTACTTCAGTTCAAGATGCAGACAGCATTAATTATAGCTGTTGTGTAATTTCTGTTTTTTATTTTGCTCTTTTGACAGTTCATTCTTATCGAGCGAAGAGGAACCGACACACAGAGCTGGATTTCGGCCAGAGGGGGCGCTATGAGCCTCTGAGATTGTCCTTTCTTTCCTGTCCCGCGTCTCTTTTGACTCGTCTTCCAATTCAACAGTGGATGGTGACCAGCCAACAAGCCCCAGAGGAGCCGTGAGGTGTTTCTCACATCCTCATCTGCCAGGACACACTCCTCTTATTATCAAGCCAGTCACTTCAGAGAAAGCCGCCACCGTCGCCACAATGAGTTCCCACAGCCGCCCAGGTAAGAGCTCGCCGTGGCCCTTCAGTGCTTTTCGTCTCTGAACAAGATAAACACTGTTGAATCAGCTCCGCTCCGGTTTCAATTACGTCTGTCTGTAAATAAACCTTTTGTGATCCAGATATGTGCCATTACAAACCTGTTTCTCTCGGTAAAGGAGGATAGTGTTTCTCTGCTACAGGAATAGCATGTGATTGGGCTTCGAGGGTTGAGAATCAGCCTTGAGATGCCAGAGAAGGCTTTTGAGCAGCTTTTTGATTCACACTCAAATATCTGTCCCCTCGACTCTGCCAAGGCCGCCTTGTCCAACTGTCAGCTCGAGGAGGAGTTTGATTATTCTTGGAAAAAATCGTAAGCTGTGCTGTTTCTCCCTGCCTCCCTCTCTTCCTTTATATTTCCTCTTCTCTCTTTCTGCTTATATTTTCCCTTTTGTGTTCGCAGAGGAAAAGGTCATAGAGTTTCATATGCTGTCTTTTTTCATCGAATCATCCGCTAGACTGATGAGCACTCAATAGTCGTACGGCTTCATTCTGTGAGTGGCCGTTGGGTTAGTAAAGCAATGAGCCATGAGTGGTCAGTTACAGGGATTTTACCATGAGTAAGTGCTGTTCTTGGCCTAAAACCGCCTTAGCTGTGGTAAAATCACTGTGATGCAACTGGATTATTGCTTTTATAAAATTATGGTGATGGCATTGTGATTAAACCACACTAAAGATTTACATTCATGAATGATAATACACTAAATTATAAATACTAAATTATGGCCATATGATATGAATGGATACCTCCTTTAGTGTAAGTCTATGGGATTTTGCTGTTCATTTTATCATTTAAGTTACCGTGCGGTCTTACTTATGTAAGCATAAAAGTTAATTTAAAGAGAAAATTACGTTTTCATGACCATAATTAAAAACAACATATGTTTTATATATAAAATACACAAAATAATGTTCTTTTTTAGCAACATCATATGACCCCTTTAAAGAAACTAATACTTTTATTCACAATAGATGCATTAAATTGATCAAAGTGACAGTGAAGATATTTGTAATGTTACAAAAGATTAACACATATTAAGTAGGTCAACTGTTTTCAACATCTATACTAATATTAAATGTTTCTTGAGCAGCAAATCAGAATGATATTTGAAGGATCATGTGACACTGAAGACTGGAGTAAGGATGCTGGAAATTTAGTAGGGTATGCATGAGTATATTGAAATATTTACTGGAAATATTGACAGGCTTTCATCTAAATATGAATGTTTTTATGTAATGATGTTGACTGCAGCATTTTGCTCTGCATGAGTAGAACACAGAAACAACACTCTTTAGCCAATCATCTCTCTCCTGATCTTCTCAGAGGGAGCAAGATTTCATCTTTGGTGGTCTGTTTTGCTAATCCAGGCTTGATGTAATGGTTTTGTACTCTCTGAGCTGGATTGGAGATTTGGAGGCCTGATGTCACCTGTCACACATCCTGTCCGTTAATCCGCTTTGGGTCTGAAAGAGCAATTTCAGCCCGGGATCGCCAGCATCAGTCTAATCCGGTGTTTCTCATCAGAAGAGGTCATTCCCTGATCTCTCTCTCACTCTCTGCATTTTCTTCCACATCACATTCTTTCAGCATCTGTTGACATTACCCAGTGTGCCTCAATGTGAACTTTCTTCTCAAGACCCCCCCTTCACATCTGCGAAGAGAAACATTTGGACATTACTTGGTGATATTAAAAGCAAAATGGGTCTGTAAAGCACAGCATTAGTGGCACTGAAATCCATAACATATCTGAAATCATGTGGTTTGTTGATGTGGACAATAAAATGGCGATAAGTTGCCATTTTAATCCAATAAGTTGCGCTAAAAGAGACACCCAAGCCATATCTAGAGACTAGAATATCATAGAGAATTCAAGGAATTGCTCTTTTGGAAAGCAAGAAACTACATAAACCGCACTAGTAATCCACTCACAGCATTTTAGCGACGACATAGCAATGTGCTAGAAACACCTCAGAAAACTTATAGGAACCATATTGCAACGTTATAAAACTCACTCAGCAGAGCTTAGCAGCCGCATAGCAGCGGAATAGAAATGCGGAATTTATTTTGAAATCTTTTTTGACTTGCTTTGTTGGCTTTTGCCTGAAATGCAGTTTGTTTGAAGCTGATTGTAGTCATTTGTTTTTGTGTGTTTGTAAACACAGACTCCAGTTATTTTTCTAATGGGTTGTTTGGGTTTTCAGGCTCTTTGCACCATGCTGGGTGGTGCCGCAGTGCTTTGGCCGGCAGCCATTTTGAGTTTCTGCTTTCATTTTTTCATCATTTTGCCTGTAGGTAAATAAAAAAAATTAAGCTATTTTTAGTCATATGCTTCTATTATGACACTCATCCTTTTGTCAATTGATTAATCTGACAATGTGGTACAACACATTTATATTTTAGCTTTCAAACGTTACCCAAATACTTTCCCAAATTTGAAAACTGTCTAAATGTTTAAATGCTGGAAATACTGGACCCTTTGGATATAAATTTTGCTTGACAGATACAGATACATAATATTTGATTGTTAAAGAATATGTAAAGTGTATGCTTTTAAAATAATTATAACAATATTTTTTTAATAATTTGATATAAAAATTAAATGATTTGAAACACTTATAAAATAATAAAAACAATTCTAAATGTAAATATTAAACTGTATGTTTAAATTAGTTAAAATATTATAAAAATAATATAAATCTATAAATTGTAAATTTAATTTTATAAAACAATTTAAAATTGTATAAAATATTATACAGTATATATGTTTTATAAAATAATTGTATGTGGTGATGAGGCCACTGAAAATGTGTTGAAAAAAATCTGGTCTCACTTTATATTAAGTGGCCCTAATACCTGTGTACTTGCATAGTAACTAGATGTGTACATAGTATGTAACCACAGTGTAAGTACACATTGGTACATTGTATGTACAGCTCTAATATTTGTGTAACTACACATATGTTACAACCCACTGAATGGTAAGTGTAAATACAAATGTGTAACAGGACATTGTTAACAACACTTTTTGGTAATGAAAGTACAAATGTGTAACAGGTCTAACTAACAGCACTTTTTGGTAAAGAAAGTGTTACACTTTATATTAAGTAAACAATTCCTATGGATTTACCATGTAATTAAGTAAGTTAGGCTTTACATTACATTACACATTTGTACTTACACAAACCATTCAGTGGGTTGTTCTATATGTGTAGTTACACAAACATTACAGCTCTAGACACTACGTACCAATGTATACTTACACTGTGGTTACATACTACCTACACATCTAGTTACTATGTAAGTACACAGGTATTAGGGCTACTTAAAGGGTTAGTTCGCCCAAAAATGAAAATTGGCTTGTTTTACTCGCCCTCGAAGCATCCTAGGTGTATATGATTTTCTTCTTTCAGACGAATCCAGTCGGAGTTATATTAAAAATCAGTCCACAAGTCGTCAAATAAAGCACGCGCATTAATAATAAACTTTCTTCACACGGCTCCGGTCGGTGAATAAAGGCCTTCTGTAGTGAATCCATGCGTTTTTGTAAGAAAAATATCCATATTTCAAACGTAATAAACACTTTTATATAACTTCCGCCAACTGTCATAGGCGGAAGCGTGTCAGTGAACTACGGCTCTGTGTAGTAAATGCCGCTCCATCTGAAAGCACGTGCTGGAGATTTACTACTAATCA